CCATGCATGAGATTTGGATCTCATTTTCTCCATTTTAAACTAATCAAGTTCAAGACATCCATTGGACATGCATGTCCATAAAGACAAGATTTTTATGTTGATTTTGGTATATGAAAGCCCTCTGGATAGTTTGAATAGATGACTTAATGGATTAAGGACTCAATACATTAGGATTTAGCATCAGACGCAGCTCACAAGGTGACACAGGGAGTGTCACAATGTGAGAGTGGTTTTTACGCGATTGTTTCGAGTGACTGAGCTCACGACGTGACCAAGGAAGGTTTACGTCGTGAAATATGTTATAGGCTTTCAGCATTCTAACACTACCTAAGTGTACATGGAACCCTAATAACCTTGGATCTATGTTTGTCTAATTATCATGCAAAGTTGAATTCCAAGGTTATATTCCTATCTAGCATACATGGGGAACATTTTAAACTTGAATGAAAGATAGAATAACTTACCTTGTTGTTGATTATGATCGTTGAAACCATGTGAGCCTAGCACCCCAAGTGTGATGCCTCAAATGCTTCACACAACACCAAATGCTTTTGGAATGACTTTTGAGAGAATACAAACACTCTGAAAATCAACCTAGCCGTCTTGTTTCTTAGTGTAGCCGATTTTGGTGGAGAATGGGTTCCTTATATAGTGTTGACACATCTAGGGTTACACCATGTAAACCCTAATGTGTCATGACTCTTCATTTCCATGACCCATGGGTTTGTTACTCACATGGAGCATCCATGGATCATCCAATGGGTTTAACCCAACTTGATAATCCATGGAGCCTTTTAGCCCACTATACAGGTTATGGATGATTTACATAATCAACCCATATATTTAATTAGTTATCTTTTGATCACTTAATTAATTCTAAATTAATTCATGATCAAACTAATTAAATAATACTATTAATATATTAGAACATGTAATATATTAATAAACCACAAGTGTTATTTCTATCATTTAGTCTATCCAATTGCATGGTGCCATGCAACCCAAATGGATCATGCCGGGTCGGATCAAGTACATACCAGAAATAGTTATGGACTTAGACACCTTATACAACAATCTCCCACTTGGATAAGTCTAATAACTATAACTGCAAGTATGACTTCAGGAACCGATCAACAATCGTAGCTATTTAAAGGTCTCTAGGAACTGAGAAGATGATGATACGCCATTTAAGATAAGTGATCATATAATCCTCTGTTCTAGATATCAGCCGGGAAAATACATGGAACAATGTCTTACTTATTGTCCAACAGTTTGTTTCCCAATTTCCTGTGACATTCCGGATTTAGGGCATAGATTTCAAACGACTAAACTACGACAAATCTATTTGTAATTAATTCATTCAGCTTTAACTGCATCTAATGAAATATAAATGAGTTAATTTCAATTATTATATAATATTTGATGATATTTTTATGCCCAAACGTGTAAACTGGTAACCCAATCAAACCGCTCAACTACAGCGCTGACTAATGCGTCTGAAAATTGAAATTTAACATTTTTCATTTTTGAGCAAAATAAACACAAAAATATGATAGTACATGTTCCCCCATTTCCAAAAATATAAAGAACGTCCAAAACGGAGTTTGTATGCAAAAGATACAACCGCTTTAAGAAAAACGGACAGTAAAACACTGTTATTCGTTAATCGCGTAAACAAAAACGTTCCGTTGAGGCACTTACGCTTTGCCGACGGGAATTCTGAGAGCATTTTTGGAATCAGGATATAGTATATTATTTAATTCCACACTTAAAATAATTTTTACGAAAATATTTACACAAGTCGCGAAAACGGACACCGCGAGCCGTTAAGATGCAAAACTTAAAACGCAATTTCCCGGAGATCCGTAACTCCAAAAATTAATCCGTTTGATGTTCTATAATCCTTGAATTATACTCTATCTAACGGAGCCTTCGAAAAATAAAATCAATGCACGAATACCGAGAAACCCGATTTTTGTATGTTTTAAACATGTAAGGGAGGCTTAGCCCCATGTGGGGCCCACCCATACTCCAACAGACAAAAAAAAAATCTGATCTCTTTTATCTTCACCTCACCCCCACGTGCCATATCTTTTCTTTCTTGCACATATCCTCAAAAGTACAAGGTAAGGGTTGAGGTATGGCTTATTTGGTTTGTGTGTATGGATTTTTACTATAAAAGGAATGCATGAGTGCCTTCATTCGACACAAATCATCAACTTCTTCCCTCTTCTCTTTATCACTCTCTTCCTCCATAAAAGCTGGAAGAACATCCCCTGCCACTCTCAAACACCCACTACCACCACCCAAAAGCTTCATCCCTAAGCTTAGTTTGTTATTTCCTTCGATCCCTGGAAGCTTTTCCATACCCCTGCATCGAAATCCAACAGAAATGAGGAAGAATGGAGGTAGCAGTATCAGAACCACCACCCCCGTCAGCCTCCTGTTGCAGCAATAACCACCGATCGCCACCACTTCTGGCCTCCATTTCGTCACTAGTAAGCCATCTCCACCCCCCTTGATTTCGTTATAAGCTTCCATGTATCTAGAACTATAATAATAATAATAATAATAATAATAATAATAATAATAATAATAATAATAATAATAAACCGCTGCAAGATTTTTATTTATTTATTTATTTTCTTTCTTTCGTTTGCGTATCACGTCGGGGAAGAAGAACAGGAGGCATATGCCTCCTGTTATAAGCTTGTATACAGTTCAAACATCATTGCAAATTAAATATATATAGTCCCCATACTTTTAAATTGCCTGAATTTAGTCCCTTGAAAGTTATTTCAAATGTAAGATTTAAACAATAAAAGTTTGATAAGAATGTTTAAAACTTACTTTAGGATGGAAAAATCATTTCAAAACAAATCAAACTTTATATACAAAAATTAAATGAAAAATGTTTATACGTATATTTTAGAAATTTTAAAGTTGATTTCAAATAAATTAATTTTGGTTATTTAAATACTTGCGGAAAAATAATAAATTAAATTTTAAAATTTATTTAAAATAATTATAAATTTTAAATTGGCAAAAGTTAGGGAATTATTCAAGAATTGTTATAATACTTAATCACGTCCAAATATTAATATATATCGAATTTCTAGGAAATCGAACTAATCCCGGAGATCACGACCTCACGGCAATACATTCTGGTCTTCAGAACTACTCGTTTACCACTCAATAAGGTGAGAGTTACGGCCCCTTTTCAATATTTTATTTTCTTGGGGGAGAATACATGTGCTATATATTATTTATGATACAAATATATAAGTCTTATATGATATGCATGCTACAAATTTAAGTTATAAATACTTCCATCATGCATAAGACTTTACACACTTATACAAGATCGTTATGTTAAAATACATATCTCTATAAAAGCAAGTAATTTATACCTTTATAAATACATCAACCATACTCGACTTTACAAATACTATACTATGAGTTTCATTATGCCCAGTACTTATCTATAATTAAGTTAGGGCTGAGAGTTATTCACAAACTTTGCGTTAATGGTTTTTGAGTGAGACGCTACTATTCATTAGCTGAGTTTAATCACTTAGCCTGCCCCACACTGCTATAATCGTTAATCTTCGGAGCGAGTTACATATATATAGATCTATATAGGGTTGACAACCCCACCTGCGGTTGCTAGCTACAACCATCGACTGATCAATCGAAGCAGGTGATATGTGTCTACGATCGTTACTACGATGTCCAATGAAGCGTCGTAGGGAGGGGTACCTTTCGTCTATAGCTCGATTATAGAACTCACTAAAAACATTAACACGAATCTCTCTCACTTTTTCACTACAACCATAGGTTTGGTTGCTTTTAGAAATGTTTTTAAGTATGGTGGTTACTTATACAATGGATATGTTTAAACCTTCATGAAGTTATTACAAACACATTTTCTTCAAAAGCATAAAATTATTTATAAAATTAATTTTTAGCTTTTAAAGACTCATGACAAGCATTGTTTCAACTATCATTATACAAAATATATACATATATATACATATATATATATACTCTTGGACTTTTGAAAGTATTATTACTGCGGCTAGCAGAAAACCTGTGACTCTCACCAACCTCGTGTTGACTTTGAAAATACATGTATTCTCAGGAAATCAGTGAAATTTCGGGCACACTCAGACGATGGAAAACTTGGCTCGCAAGTACTTTAATTTTCTACTTTTGAACTGTTATGCCTAACTGTTAAGGCAAACTCGTATTATTATCTTATTACTATCTATAAGAACTTTGTATGAAAACATAAACATGTAATGAAATGTTGTTTTGTTTATTGTTGTACTTGTGCTGTATATTCAATTTACCTGTGATCCATGAACTTAGTCGCACAGCCCGGCATGTTCCGCCGCCTCGGCCGGGGGTGTGACAGATTGGTATCAGAGCTAAATTGGCTATAGAGAACTCGTATCCTCGAAAGAGGAATACAACTATAGCAACTAGCTTCTTATAAAAGTATTATCAATAATAAAACTACTTCCCGACTACTTACGGTATGGTAGTTGGGAAGTACAAAACAAAGATTAATAATACTACAAACCCCACCAACCTTAATATGTAAGAGTTGATATATATACCCTGACCCACGATGAGAACACTTAATAAAAATTCTAAACATCCCTTCAACTAAAACTACCAACTCAACCCTTTAGGTCAAACGCCTCAATTAAAGGTTAGTATCGTACATAAGCCATACCACAAATAAACCTGGAACGCGCGCCTATGTTATTTATGGTCGGGCCGGTGCACAACCAACCTTGAGCAAGGAGTTTGACAAGCTACAACGGTTGAGAGTTTTAGAAGTTGAAGAATATCCATCAGATTCGTTGCTGAAGCTTAATACCTTAGAATCCTTTTATCAACCTTAAAACTCTTATAAAAAAAATAAAAAAAAATAAAAAAAAAAAAAAAACCTTATACAAATTTACTAAACCGCTTGAAACCCTTCTATGTAGATGGCTGGACTACCGGATAACCCTGATGACTGGTTTCGACTTGAGGATCCTGATGAGCCATTTGGAGTTCCTTTGCATCCACATCCACTACACTTAGCGGGGGATCCGTACTTTCCCCATGACGGTCTTGAAGAGGAGGATCCCGAAGAGGATCCTGAGGAGGATCCCGAAGAGGATCCTGAGGAGGATCCCGATGAGGAGGAGCTCGAGAATGAGGGCATATTTCAGGATGCCCAAGAGACTGATGATGATGGTCCTGCAGAGGATGAGGGAGACCTCTCCGAAGAGGAACCTACTCCCCTTACCCCACCAGACTCACCACCGAGACCCCACTACCAGCCGTACCTTCTGCGCGGCAAGGGCCCTTGTATGATGAGGACCCCAGGAACTACTATATCTCCTATTTACCACTTGGACCCAGCTGCTCAGGTTTCCCGACCCACTAGTGGTCTATTAGGGAAACGTAATCGACCCAGTGAGCCATCTTGGCTCACAGACCTCCTTAGCAGGAGGGATGCTACTGATCTACCACCACGGTTTGAGGTTGGTGAATCTTCACGAGCACCACTCAGGTTTAATCCTGAGGATGATCCGATACCTCGCTTGATGACTCAGATTGATCAGACCGAGGATAGGATTAGATCCTTGGAGCAGTTTGTGAGAGGTCCAGGCTCTACTTCCCTCGACCATCGAGTTGAGACACTCGAGGAAGAGGAGAAGGAGAATTCTGATGCGATCCAGATATTATATCATCTCTCGGGTGCTGATCATGATGCAGTGAATGCCTTGAGTGCTCAGGTAAGAGCACAGAACTACCGGATTCAGATCATGGAGAGCGAGCTTGCTGCGCAGCGAAATCAGTTGGTTATCTCTGCGCAGGAACGACGCTACATCTTGGACCAGTTCGAGGACTTTGTCCTCTATGTGATGACTCGATTTGGGAGGTAGATATCTAGGACAACTTGTGTCCTAGGATAAGGTTAGGACTTTTGAGGAATAGCTTTTGTATTGCAAGTGTTTATCACTGCCTGGTTTGTAATAGCTCTTTTGAAAAGCTTTTCTATTTCTAACCTTATATGGTTAAAACTTTGTAACCAAAACAAGCAGTTCTGATGACAATGTTTCTGTGTTTTATTAAATGTTTGTATTTATTATGTATTGCTTGCAAAACTCTATATATCAGGAAAAGCTTTCATTTTCTGGTTTCGCAAGAAAAACAAATTGAACAAATACAAAATACACACACATTATAACTATATGGTTTAAAAAAAAATTAACTTACTTATCTAACGTATTAGGATAATGCCTCGACGAAAAGAACCACGAGTTCGTCCACCACCGACTCCCCGAACTAACAGGAGAAGTGCTCCAGAGATAACTCAAACAACAGAAGAAACTCCAGACCCTGAAGAAACCCCAAGTGCTACAAATAACCACCAAAATTTCCAGATGGATCCCACCATGATGCAGAACATGCTTGCACAAGGGATTGCTACGGCCTTGGCGACTTATGAGGCAGCTCGAAACGGGAATACTGGAAATAGCGGAAGTGGTACTCCTGTAGTTGCCCAAAGAAATCCCAAACACTGCTCATACAAAGAATTCATGGGTTGTAAACCCCGATCCTTCTACGGAACTGAAGGAGCTGTTGGCCTATCCCGATGGATAGAGAAGATTGAAGCTGTCTTCCACATCAGCTCTTGCCCGGATGACTGCAGGGTTAAGTACGCTACCTGCACACTGATGGATGCTGCCTTAACTTGGTGGAACAACCATGCCAAGACCGTGGGAATTGCGGAAGCCTATGCCATGGGATGGGAACAGCTGAAACTAATGATGACTAAAGTGTATTGCCCACGGCAGGAGATTCAGGCATTAGAACAAGAACTCTGGAACCTAACCATGCAAGGATCAGAGGTAGCTGCTTATACCTCCCGATTCGAAGACCTTGCAACTCTTTGTCCCGGAATGGTACCTTCAGAAGACAAGAAGACGGAGAGATACATTTGGGGATTAGCATCGCCAGTCCAAGGTCTGGTTACTGCATCCAGACCCTCAACTTTTGATAGTGCCAAGCAGCTGGCCTATGAGTTGACTGAACAATGTATCCGACAAGGCACCATGGCCCCTGCAAAAGAAAAGAACCAAACTGGGAAATCTAAGAGAAACTTCCAGGGAAAGCCAAAAGGGAACTTCAAACACCGTAAGCGAAACCCAGAGCCTGTAACGGTGTATGCTGCAGTCACAACCACTCCCACTCCAGTAAAACCCTACGCTGGAACTCTACCTCGCTGCCCTAAGTGCAATTATCATCATGTTGGAGACTGCAGGATATGTAGCAACTGCAAATTAAGCGGTCATACCACCAAATTTTGCAAAAAGAACCCAAGCAACACAGTCTCAACTACTACCGCAAGAGAAAGTCGAACCTGCTTCGAGTGCAACCAACATGGACATTTCAGGAAAGATTGTCCTAAGCTGAAGAGACAGGGTGGTCAAGGAAGGGCATTTGTGATAGGTGCGGGAGACGCACGCCAGGAACCAACTGTGGTTACTGGTACGTTTCCTATCAACAATATTTATGCCTCTGTATTATTTGACACTGGTGCTGATAAGAGTTTTATTTCCCACAAATTTAGAAAAATGATTAATCATGAATCATGCAAACTCAATAATGCTTACACGGTAGAAGTAGCCAATGGTCAAATAGAAAGCACCTTAGAAATACTCACCAACTGCCTTCTCACCCTGAATAATCACGTGTTCCCTGTCGACTTAATGCCCATAACCATTGGAAGTTTCGATGTAATCATCGGAATGGATTGGTTATCAGCCCATCGAGCGGAGATTTTATGTTACGAAAAAGCTGTACGATTACCCTTACCAAACGATGAAGTCCTTGTGATTTATGGAGACAAGGCGGGGAAGAACCTACGAGTCATTACTTGCATGAAGGCAAGGAAGTATTTGCAGAAGAGATGCTACGCTTTCTTGGCCCACGTGGTGGATACGCAAGGCAAGGGTAAGGAAATCAAAGACATACCACAAGTGTGTGACTACCCAGACGTATTTCCAGAAGACCTACCTGGAGTACCTCCTATCAGACAGGTTGAATTTCGAATCGACCTTATCCCGGGTGCAGCACCAGTGGCACGGTCTCCTTATCGCCTGGCTCCATCGGAAATGCAAGAACTATCCAGTCAACTTCAAGAACTTCTCGACAAAGGCTTTATTCGGCCAAGCTTCTCTCCATGGGGAGCCCCGGTATTGTTTGTCAAAAAGAAGGATGGTTCTTTTAGGATGTGCATCGATTATCGAGAGTTGAATAAGCTCACTATCAAAAACCGGTATCCACTCCCGAGGATCGATGACCTGTTCGACCAATTACAAGGATCCTGCTACTACTCAAAGATCGACCTACGATCCGGCTATCATCAACTTAGAGTTCAAGAAGCGGATATTCCAAAGACGGCATTCCGAACTAGATACGGTCACTATGAGTTTCTAGTGATGCCATTTGGACTGACCAACGCACCTGCCGTATTCATGGACCTTATGAATCGGGTGTGTAAACCCTACTTGGACAAATTTGTGATTGTCTTTATCGATGACATATTAATATACTCACGAACCAAGGAAGAACATGGCCAGCACTTGCGTTTAATCCTAGAACTACTAAGAAAAGAAAAACTTTATGCAAAGTTTTCTAAGTGTGAGTTCTGGATTAACGAAGTTCATTTCCTCGGTCATGTGGTCAGCAATAAAGGGATTCATGTCGATCCGGCGAAGATTGAAGCTGTCAAGAATTGGAAAGCACCAACAACACCAACCGAAGTACGTCAGTTCTTAGGGCTTGCAGGCTATTATCGGAGATTTATTGAGAACTTCTCCAAAATAGCCAAGCCTCTCACCGCACTAACCCAGAAAGACAAAAAGTTCAACTGGGGAGACAGTCAAGAGTCTGCCTTCCGAAAATTGAAGCAATTGTTATGCAGTGCACCAATTTTGTCTCTTCCCGAGGGAACAGAAGACTTTGTAGTATACTGTGATGCCTCACGTCAAGGGTTAGGGTGTGTACTAATGCAGAGGAATAAGGTTATTGCATATGCATCCCGACAACTAAAGCCAAATGAGACAAACTACACTACCCATGACTTAGAGTTGGGAGCCGTAATATTTGCTCTGAAGATTTGGAGACACTATCTATACGGGACAAAGTGCATTGTATTCACAGACCACAAGAGCCTCCAACACATTTTTGATCAAAAAGAGCTCAATATGAGACAACGGAGATGGGTCGAATTACTAAATGATTATGAATGCGAGATTCGTTATCATCCCGGTAAAGCAAACGTTGTGGCAGATGCCTTAAGCAGGAAGGAACGAGCAAAACCTCTTCGTGTAAAGGCTCTAACCCTAACCATCCACTCGAACCTTACTATTCAAATTCGTGATGCTCAGCTAGAAGCACTTAAACCTGAAAACATCATGGAAGAAAACCTACGAGGCATGGACAAACAGTTCGACCTCAGAGATGATGGAACGCGATACTTCATGAACCGAATTTGGACTCCAAGATTTGGAGAAGTCAGAGATTTGGTTTTAAATGAAGCTCACAAGTCAAGATACTCAATACATCCCGGATCAGACAAGATGTATCTCGATCTCAAGAAGCATTATTGGTGGCCCAATATGAAGGCAGAAATTGCCACTTATGTTGGTAAGTGTTTGACCTGCTCCAAGGTCAAGGCGGAGTACCAGAAGCCGTCTGGCCTGCTACAACAACCATCAATTCCAGAATGGAAGTGGGAACAAATAACAATGGACTTTATAACAAAGTTGCCCAAGACATCAAGCGGTTACGATACCATATGGGTAGTGGTTGACCGTTTGACCAAGTCCGCTCACTTCTTAGCCATCAAGGAAACTGATAAGATGGAAAAACTCACCAGAACTTATCTCAAGGAGATAGTCAGACTACACGGTGTGCCAATATCTATCATCTCGGACCGAGATAGTAGATTTACTTCCAGATTTTGGCAATCACTGCAAAGATCCCTAGGCACAAAACTCGACATGAGTACAGCATATCATCCCCAAACGGATGGCCAGAGCGAAAGGACAATACAAACTCTGGAAGATATGCTCCGCGCTTGTGTGATAGACTTTGGTAACGCATGGGATACTCACTTGCCATTAGTTGAGTTCTCTTACAACAACAGCTATCACAGTAGTATAAAGGCCGCTCCATTCGAGGCCTTGTATGGGCGCAAATGTCGTTCACCATTATGTTGGGCAGAGGTTGGAGATACCCAACTAGCAGGAAAACATATTAGAGATACACTATTCACTGGACCTGAAATCATTCAGGAGACAACAGAAAAGATTGTTCAGATAAAAGAACGGCTAAAAGCCGCACGTAGTCGGCAGAAGAGTTATGCTGACAACAGACGCAAACCATTGGAATTCAAAGTAGGAGACCGAGTCCTACTAAAAGTTGCCCCATGGAAGGGTGTCATTAGATTCGGAAAAAGAGGAAAGCTAAACCCACGTTACATCGGACCCTTTGAGATCCTAGCAAGAGTTGGTCTGGTAGCTTATAAGCTCAACCTACCTCAAGAGCTTAACAAGGTTCACGATACCTTCCACGTGTCTAATCTCAAAAAGTGCCTAGCCGATGAAAATTTGATCGTACCACTCGATGAAATTCAGGTCAACACAAAGCTTCACTTCATGG